ATTTTAATACCATGATATTATCTTGAAGTAGGTGTATTTAGAGTTCTTGCTTTTAAACTAAGTGGAACTTATATATAAATATTTGAATCAAAAAAACCATATAAATATGCACTTACCACATCTATAAGATGCATCTTAAAGGTGGCATGAGTTGCCATTTCAATAATATATTGAAATATAATTAAATTCATGACTGGAAAATATATGGATTTATAATGAATGCCAAATTGTTGGATAAATACTTGGGCAAAAAGACGAGCTTTATAGCAGGTTATTTGACCCTTAGCATCTTGCTTGCATATTAATACTATCTTATATCCTACAAGGCAAGAAGTAAGAGTGTCTAAAATTGGACTAAAGACTTTTCTCTCAGGCAAAGAATCATACTCCACCTTGATGGTATTTTTTTATTTTAACCAATAAGAGCAACACATTGCTTTTAGGATGGTTTGAGCTTCAAGATCCTCTTTTTTCTAAGAAAGAGCTTCTACAATCATGAATGCAAATGATTTATCTATTATAATAGATGGTCTATTCCAAATGTCATTGTAGCATAATATAGAACAAATAATTTTGTACTCAACGTAGTTTTATACCTCCTAATTTTAAGATTTTTTATTGCATGAGGTGAAGGTATAATTTGCATGGACATATTGTCATTAATTGATGGTCCCATAGGTTTAGTAGGAACTTCTACAAAATAATAGCAGAATTACCACATATTATAGCTTTCTTTTTTTGTGGTTGCTTATTTGGTCCATGAGTCCTTTTAATTTTTGATGTTTTAAGTAAAGGTATATTAATTAGTAGTAATGTAATTTTAGCAAGTTCATTCTGAGCTTCATTAATTCGAACTCTTGTAATTTGAAGCACATCATTGATAGCATCAGGTGTTTTATTTGCAATCTATTTTAGATACAAAATCTTTACAACTTCAGTTTCAGCTAAAGATGTTCTAAGATCATGATTCATTGTAGATGTTTTTGGTACTCCAAATACAAGTGTTGTATTTCTTTATTGATTAAATATTCCTCCTCAAAGAGATGGAAATATATTATCTTCAAAACAACAATTTTGAAAATGTGTACATAATAATGTACCACTTGATAGATCAAGTATATGAATAATGCTTGATGAATCAAAATTAACATATATGCCTTCTTGTCGATGAGCTCCAAAGGTATGTCATTAAGGTTTTGATATTGGAATCCAAGTATGGCAATTTAACACCCATAGGTGAAATATATTTGACACACAAACTGAAATGAACTCTTGTGGTGTTATAATTTCAAGAAAAGAAGGACAAAGGCATATTAATGTTGCAGCATGCAAAATTGCATGATCCCACATAGATGTAAGTAAATTTGTCTAAAGAAGTAGTAGCTAGGGTATGAGTTGTCTATGCTTTATAAATGATTCTGCAAGTTTATTTTGAGCATGTTCATATGGA